ATCATCCAGTGAATATTTGCGAGCTGAATCGCCTTAGACAGCACCAGACTTTACCTCTGGGACCCTGTCAAAATAATGTTTTATGGCTGTAGCCACAAGGGAAACTTTGATGCCCAAAGGAAAGGAAGAGCAGTTAGAGGGCAGAAACTATAAAAAGGGGTGAGGAGAGTACCCATGCCCACATCTGAATATTTAAAATAAAGTAGGGGTGAGGACACAGGAGATGTTGTATACCTACTACCCAGAAATATGCCTCTCCGCCCAAAGTAAAAAATGTAATCTGTTCCTATTAGATGATAATCCATTTTAGAAGCCCATGAAGGTTAAACTGACATCTGAAATTCAGAAAAAAAAATTACAGAAATTTTTCATATATCTAGGTAGGCTGTAAATGTAATTTTTGTATCATTTAAGTAAAGCAGAAAAACAAAACTCCCCCAGTTTGTATCTTGAAATCATAGGACAATTTACCTATGATAAAAAATAAAGCTATTAGTTAGCAAATTGAACAATCCCCACCAAGTGTAAGATTAATCTAGTCTTGTACTTTACAGATTTACAATATTACTTCCAAACTGTCCAGAGCTCGAATTCAAATCTATAGTCTGGTCCTTATGGCACAAATATATTTAATTTTTCTATCTGGTCATTTTAATCAAGATGATGTACATTACAAAGTTTAATTTTATACTCACAACATTATCACCTAATTTTCCCCAATAGTAGACCAGTAAGTTTCTGTCAGTGAATTGGCAACATCATGATTTTTCATAGTTTGGTTTTTGCCAGCCAATAATTTTTTGACCTGGCCCTAAGAGCTCTGGTTTCACTTCTTGTAGGAAAGAAGCAGCTTGTTGGCACAATGCAATAAGATCTAGGCATCTGCAACATGGGAAACTGAATGATTGTTTCAATATTTCTACCAGCAGTTTTCAGAGGTAGGATCACAGCAATGTATTTAAACAGAAAGACTCATCACTGAAGCTCAGGATATAAATTCCAAGACATTACATATGATACAGTGCTGCATGTTGGTGTCTGGGACAGGCAAGGTTCAAAAAGGAAGATCCACTAGAAGGAGCTTCCCAGAAAAGTCAGGGAGTTCTGGATAATATTTCAAATATGCCTACTCCCTACACGAGCAACTGATTCTATTTCCTTGACTCAAGCTACCCGTTTCTCACAATTATGGTTTCCAAAGTCAGGAAGTAACTTTTAATCAAGGTATACTTTTCATATGGTAATATTTCTTTTTTTTTTTTTTCCTTTTTGCAAACTTTAGTAATCAATAGTGAACCTTAATGATCAGTGGTTCTTATTTACCTATCCAACAAATAAATGCAGGGTCAAACATAAGAAGAGTAAAACTTTATGATAGGACTAATAGTTGCCCTGATATTATAAAACTTAAATGAAGAAAAAGAGAGAAGGAAAAATTCTGTACCATGGTAGTGATCTTAGCTATTAGACACTAGTTCTATGTTTAAAAGCATGTGGAATGCTTCTCCAGACTAAATTTAGTATCCTTGTGGGGGAGAGAATTTACTTGTTATTTATAAGAACACTGTGTGTGTGGTGTGTCGGGGGGGTGGGGTGGAGTGGTGTTCCAAGTAATTCAAAGCACATTAGAGACCTTAAAACCATATCTGCAATATGACAATTACTGTTTTTGTGAAAGATAAATGATTACATGTGGTTAACAGTGGTGATAGCAAAAGAAATTTTTTTCACTGAAAAGTTGTAATTTGACCTGTTTTGACACATTAAGGGGAGGCTTCCAACCTAAACCTTTTTCTTAACTCATGAGTCAATCAAGTGATTCTAACTGGGACTGTAATTGAGCATTCTGACAATACAAGGAGTCTTAAAGGTTACCTAGAATATCTGGCTCATTTTACAGACAAGAAAAATGAAGTCCAAAGAAGAGAGTCATTTGCTTTGCCTAAGGTTGCCTACTTACTTAGTGGCAGAACCATGGGTAGAACCCAGTCCTTCTGTTTTCCAACAAAATACTTTTTTTTTTCAGGGGAGAAGAGACTCTCTTCCTCCCTGAACATGACAGAAAACTGTTTCTGGGCAGTTTTGCCAGAACCTGAAAATTAAACCCAAGGGTCAGAAGAGTTTTGCAGAAGTAAAGATCAATTCTACCACAGTAATTCAAGTTGTTCTCTGTATACCTCTGGCAATTGCAAATATAAACAATGTCTGTATGGTTTTTGTAGCAGACCTGGGAGTTCTTTTTTTTTTTTTTTAAATACACATCCAAATTAGTTAGCATACAGTGCAACAATGATTTCAGGAGTAGATTCCTTAGTGCCCCTTACCCATTTAGCCCTGGGAATTCTTGCATTAAAATACAGTATTTAAGCAGTCAAGGAAGTCTTTAATAAGTTAGAATCATATATCATTTTAAGAATTGGAAGTCTTGTGCAATAAATTTCATGTCATTCTCTAAATTTACAGAGGAGGAAGATAATGTCACATGCTGGTCAGTGCAAGGTCAGGACTGGAATACAAATTTCCTAACTCCTTGTCCACTCTTTCTTCATGACACCACATGGCTTCATCATAAATTATGCCCAAGAAATGGACAGATGCATAGGGGAATTAACCTAACACAGCTTCCCTATGAGAGATTTCTCAAGCAACACAGGAAGTGGGTGATACTTGTCATCAGGCCTGGCTAATTCTCTGTCCTGGCCCTGTAAATGTTTAACTAAATGTGACATATACATACAAGTTTAACTTGCTAGTAGGTATACATCTGCCTGATAATTTTCTCTCTCCTCTTCCTTTTTCCTACAGAAAAACAAATGATACCACTTTCTCACTAGGTTTCTCTCCAGGAATAAAACTGATGGACAAACTCCAAGGGGCATCACAGATGAGAAATTATACTCAGTTGTTAGTAGCCTAGAGTTTGACAGGACCCAGAATTCCCCAACATAGTGAGGTTAGAGGAAAGGGGGAAGAAAAGTTGATGCAGAGGAGGGTTTCAGCAAGGCAGAAAAATGATAATGGGGCTCATGTGAGGAAGATAAAACACAAAGTGGAGGCTGGAAGGATGCAGGCCATTGTGCAGGCTCTGGTGTGGACTGCCTGATGACTTCAGAAAACTAGACAGTTACCTAATTATATTTCTCAAGGTCAACCACGGAGGCTATGATGGAGCTCTCGACTGCATGGCCAATGAGGTGGCTGGAGGTGGTGTGTCATTTCAGACATCCGTGGACAACTTCAATTATTTTCTTGCTACTGACAATTCGTGTCCAAACCCACATTTTAGAAAATTGAACAGTGTATCTGTTGAAACACTCAGATTTCCAGAATTCTAAAATAAACATGCATATTATCTTCATTCTAAGAAAAAATATGTTTCAAAAAAAAAAATCTTGAAGAGATTACACTGTTTCCCTCTTAGAATCTCCAGTAACTAATTTTAACAATAGCTTTCATATCTGTCTCAGTTGGGCATTTTGTTTAGCTCAGAAAAAGAAATAACTATAATATTTCTCTTCTAATAATGTTGGGAAATTTCCGTTATTGCCCCAAATGAAAATATTTCACTGTAGCCTAATTTCCCTCTTCATCATATAGCATGAGATCAAGAGCCATAAAAATCATTATTTTCCTGATGACTTCAATCTATTTCATAAGGGAAAGAAAACGAAGGATGCAGCTATCTCTCAGCATTCCCAAACCACTTTGCTTTTGGATTTTGTATATTCAAGCAACTAACTGTTGGCTGTTTTATTGGTTTGAATAACCCAAGCAAGGTGCAAGAAAATCTAACTTCTATGTTAGAATTCACATCTGCTTATGCTAGAATGAAAACCCATCTGAGAATCAATGAAGCACATGGAGAGGGTCTAATTAAATCCCTATGCCATTTCCTTTAAAGCTGTCAAATTGAAATTGTAATCGTGTATTCATTCACCCCCAGTGGTGTGGTGGTAATTTTAGAAGTGGGAATATTTAAGCAATAAGACCCAACAGGGTGTGTTTTGCTAGGATATCAACAAGACTGGATAGTTCCTAGGTAAGCAGCCAATAGCCTGAAAACAAAACCTTTCCTAAAGAGTAGATGATCACAAGACCTTTTTACAGGTGTACAACCATACTAATGAGAAAGATGACTTTGGGAATGAAAACTTGTAATAGAAGTATTTATTAAATTATACCATTAAAACCATGCTAAACTATTTAGGGAAAATAATGCAAAGCATTGACACATTAAATCAAAGGGATAATATGTTGAACAAATTAAAAATCAAATTTCCAAGATTTCTGGCTTTTGAAGTCACCATCAAATTCCAAACACCTGTTCTGTCTACAATCCTCTTTATTTTTATGCCTAATTTTGTTGTTAAATGATTTCCCCCACCGAAATTTAATTGAATAAATATGAAAAAAATATATGCTCTGCAACTTGTTATTAGGGTACCTTTTTTGTCTCATTTTAGAGGACAACATGCTTTCAGGAAGAGTCTCTTTTGAAATGTCTATAAGTTTTTCACATATAAGATCCACAATTACATAGGACGCTTTCTGCACTGTTTAAATAACAAACAGCGAAGAAAAGCAACCAAATTATATAGCTAATTCACTGGCTTTATGTAGATACTGCCTGAGTTAAGAGACTGGGAACCACCAGTCCTCAACATAAGTATCTTTATGTTCTTGTTCTAGGCTATAAGGTTTTTTACTCAATCTAGAGGAAAGAAAGAAAGAAAGAGAGAAAGAGAGGGAAGAAGAAGGAAGGAAACAAGGAAGGAAGGAAGGAAGGAAGGAAGGAAGGAAGGAAGGAAGGAAGGAAGGAAGGAAGAAAGAGGAAGAAGGAAGAGAGGGGAAAAAAAGTAGAAATAGTTCTGTAGATTAAATTGCTAAACTGCTTCCTTTGATACACTCTCTGACTGGAAAATTCAGTAAATCCAAGTAAAAAAAGCTAGCATGACAGCATTCTAACAATCCAAATATAAACATCTCCCCCTTTCACTCACCTTCTCTCATTTTATATCCTTCCATCCTCCACTACATCCAATCTCAAACATAAACACATTTATAAGAATGAGTGTCGGCTGCTCTGCAGATATAACCCAGGCAGGAAAGATCATCTAGGTGGGAAAACAAGAGAGAAAAAAAGAAAACAGGGAGTTTGATTCTGTTTTAGCTCTCCCCACTCCTTATGCCAGCCCCCTCTCTACACAAAAGCCTCTTAGAAAGGATTCCTCAGTCAAGTGTACAAACACAGCAACCTCAGAGAAAATTAAGGGAGGTTCCATTGTGTTCCATTCTGTATGTCTAGTGTATCCTTCAGAGAAGAATTAAGATAAGCAGCATTGACAATAACAAAAAGTAAAATAAAACAGAATATCGTTTCTGTATAAAAAAAACTATAGAAAACTGAGTAGAACTAGAATTCACAGCAAAGAAAAAAAGAACTGGATAATGGGAGGGCACTCTTCCCACCTTCCTCTCCACTTTGCTTAAGCCCATTCAACTTCTGGTGCCTGTGGATGGGCAATAAGGAGGAGGTGAACACTTAGGAGAGTGGAATTCTATGGCTTTGATGAAATAAATTCACCTCTTCTGATCTGATTCTTCTAGAATACAAAAATCACTCGCACCATCATTGTAGAGAATTGTCACAATGATAATGCCAACTCACACATGACATTCTCTACATGTTACACTGGCAACATAACTATATAGAGAGGAACAGAGTGTCCACATAAGTTAAAGAAAGATGAAATTCATAAATGATTAGTAAGAATTCAAAACTATCAGTGTACGAGAAAACTTCATAAATTGCACCTCTCTGCAATAAGACAGATCCCCAGCATCAGTCAGTGACAGGAACACACACAAAGTTACGATAAAATTCCAATATTGAATTCTTATAAAAAGTAGCATAAAACTTACATGTCTTGAGACTTTTCAAGCAAAGGTCACCATTTAAATTATAGGGAATTGCTCTTCTAGGCTCATATTTTACCTGAGTCAAATTTGTCCACACTTAAAAAGAGCACATTGCTTTCACAGAGCACATACTCCCACTCTCCAGAATTAGTGATAAATAATGAAAACTTGTGCAGAAAAAATTATTAAATTACCTATTTTCAATGCTCATTGGATAGGAAATTTGAGGGCTCAAGTTTATTGAGCATTGACCAACAGACTTCATCAGAGGTATCAAATACATGACCCTAAATTAGAAGGATAATTTTATAGCTTTAGCTCCTCAAAAAGGTGGTCAGTTTCAAATATAAGTATTATCCCTCAAACTAGATTTTCTAGTGTTTTTTTTTTTTTGTAAAGGACCCATATAAATGGGTTTCAGGAAGTAACTTTCACTTATAACATCATAGGCTATGCTTTTTTTACTTTTGCTGGGCTTTCAATTTTCATATAACATAAGATGTCATAAACGTCTACAATAAAAGATATGTTTCCATTTAAATAAATGTGCTGATTACTAGCAACTTACATTAAAAGGAAATAATTTTATTTTTTTAAAAAAGGAAATAACTTTGTAGCATTCCAATGATTCTTTCTTTCATATATATCCAAAACAAAAATGAATCATTTATAAGTACTAAGCATTATTAGCACCTTAAAATATAAGTGATTCTGCTACAATGTAATCAGGTTAATAATGAAAAATAATTAGTTATCTAATTGGTCTTTGGCCAGATAAGAGACATGTAGAAGACATGCAAGCCTAGGCATTTTAGAGAACACCTGACTTACCTTGAGAGAGAAAAATAGTAAAAAACTTGTTAAAAATCTCTGCTGTTTTTAATTAGAGATGTGGTATCATGAAATACTTAACAATTTGCTTTCTTTCCTGCTGCTGGAAAAACACCTGCTCCTCACCCATTATGTGATCTTGTCAGTGCCCAAATAGTGAAGATCATACGTTCAGTATCAAATGGCTTCCTGAATAGTACATCTCAGCTAAACTCTACATACAGAATGACGGCTTCAGAAAAGAATAATGATCAATATAACCCCACCCATAATCTTGCTTTGGAAGCAAAATGTTTGCAAACTTTCTTATTTAATGTGGTCTTTGTCACACCTGTGTAGCCTGGCATGCTGGGATCTCAATGGTGGGCCAACATGAAAAATGGAGTAAACTGGAATTGTGTTGAGCCAAGCCTAGGAAAACTAATTCAGCTGTAGATTCAGTCCTCAAGGAACCAAAATGTTTTGCCTAAGAGAACATCACAATCTCAGAAGTAATCCTGACTAGTGTTCGTGTACAGGAGTCTATGTAGTTGGGAAGCATGCCATAGTTTATGTTTTGCAGGAGAGACTTGTAGAGAAATGGCAAGAGTTATCCAGCCGGTAAGCATTTGGCCAAGAGGACTGGGGTTTGTGGCAAAACCCTATTCCTGCAAATAGACCTGAATGACACCGGAAAAGTAAGCATAGTCATGAAAAGGACAGTATTAGATCAGGAGATCTGGCTGCAGTTTGGTAGGCAGTGGATTGCTCCCGGCCAGCCCAGTCCAAGCATGAGAATGACTCAGAACAAGAAGGCTAGTGCCAAGTCCCCCCACTGGCAAAGATGTAGCTCATGTTTCTCTTCCAGTGTTAGTTCTCTTTAGCTCAAAACTTCACAGAGGTGGACCTACATGTTAAGGGTTTTCAATGTCTAAAGTCAATGAGGCTAGAGGAGATGTGAATCTACCTTCATATGATCATTTATATATTTTTTTCTACCCAATACACACAGAAAAGCACTCAACACCTCCACAGACACACACACACACACACACACACACACACACACACCCCACAGACATGCACACACTTTTGTTAAGGCAGTATAAATGATTTTAAGTATGCATTTTACAAAGGTCCAAATTTATTGCTGACTGCCAAGTCTTTTTAATTTATAACAACTAATAAATCTTACCTAAAATTGGGAAAATCACCTTAAGTTTATGATCTCTGACATTTAAGCATAATGCTGAAAATGTTCAGAAAATTATGGATTTTACTTAGAGATGAGTTTCAGGTTTATACATTATCACAGATTATGAAAATCAGTGGAAAATGTACAGTTGTGGAATAAACCAGTGGGAATATACATATTTCCAATTCTGGGTTCCCTAATTTTAAGCTCTTTATATCTTTATTTATCAAATGCAAACTTTGAACTTCTCCAGTTGAAATATTTCTTAAATTCTAATATAGAAGGATTTATGTATACTCCCCATTGTTTCATTTACTTAGAAAGCAGATTGAAAGAACAATAATGTTGGATTTCAGATGTCTGGAGGAAATACTGCACGCATGACATCTGTTTTCCCTGGGGATTTGACACACATTTGCTTTAATGTACTGGTGTGTTCCTCATTACCTTAGAAGCTATATGCTAAAAACAAGAGTGTGTTTCAGTTTTCAAGGAAAAGAAAAAAAATTATAAATCCCAAAGCCTTTTTCTCTGATGAACAATAATTTAGGGTTAAGCTTTCAAAAAAGAAAAAATGCAAATGATCATGTTTCTAAATGGTCCAACTTTGTAAAGATTATGTGTAAGTCTTCCATAAGCCTTCCATACATGTTAGTCTTCCTTGTTATTGGAGAATTATCCAGAGCCAGAAAGAACATGCCTTTGAAAATCAACAGCTAAAAGAAACAAGATCTGCATCTCTAAATAGCCCGAGTCACCAATTTAAGATGTTTGAGGTATTAATCCTCTGGAAAATTATTTGGCCTCCAGAAGCAGTGAATTGTTAAATATCTTTGGTGGATACCCTGGAGTTTTGCCATAAACTGACACATGAAGATCCATGCCGAACACAGAATGCCACACTATTCCACACTACACCAGCTGGCTTGTAACACGTACATCTCTGCACAATTTCTCTTAATAAAAAACATATAACATATCCAAAACACTTTCATGATTCTCATTCAGTATCTGTTCAACCAATTTGCTAATTAAGGAAGATTTCCCTCTCAGATCACCTGAATTTAAAAGCTTTTGTAAGGCTCCTTCATATTGAAGGAACACAATTCAGAATGGGAACATAGAGAAAAAAGTGTACTCTTGAAGTTAAAGTTCACATATTGCATGGGGGTAGATAAGATAAAAAATTTTTTTTTTCCGCCATGTCTGTCCTTTGGCTGAGGTGACACATCAAATGATCAGATGTTACTCTGCAGCACGAGAACTTGATGTGGCTTTGAAATCAAGTGTCTTGAATCATTTCCTAAGTCCAGACAATGATAATAAACATCTCTCGAAGGGTCTAGGCCAGACCCATTAGTGAACATGAGCTGTCTCACATCAGCTGAAAGGAAAACTGTGTCCTGAAATTGAAGAGCAATTGGAATCAACATTTGCTTTCTCCTGGCACAATCGTTAGAATCTCGGATTAGACCTTTGACTCAGGTATCCTTCTGCACTTAAATAAAACTAAAAAGACTTTCATACCCCCCACTCAGTAAACTGAAGAAAATAATTGAATTGATTTAGTAAATTGCATCTATACACTTAATTAAATACATTTCACAACTTAATTTGGAGAATTAGAATTACTTTTGCATTTATTACAGTGGCTTTTCCTATTAAAAATGGAAACACCATTGGGGTGCCTGGGTGGCTCAATCGGTTGAGCGTCTGACTTCGGCATAGGTCATGATCTCGCAGTTCGTGAGTTCAAGCCCCGTGTTGCACTCTGTGCTGACAGCTCAGAGCCTGGAGCCTGCTTCGGATTCTGTGCCTCCCTCTCTCTCTGCCCCTTCCCCGCTCATGCTCTGTCTCTCTCTGACTGTCAAAAATGAATAAACGTTAAAAAAATTTTTTTTAATAAAAAAAAAAAAATTGAGACACCAAAAGGGTCAGATTGAGTTAGGGATAAAGGTTAGAAGGCCCTACTAAAAAGACTAATAAAAAGTGACTTAAATGTCACCATCTCCCTACCAAAATGTGTAAGTGATATTTTCAGTTTGACATGAGAACTCCATCCTTGTTTGTTGGCACTGAATTCTGAACATAAATTCTACAGTTTTCAGAAAGAGATGATACATGTATCCTTAACAGCTATAACACTGACGGGATTGGAAACCAAAATCTTCTGTTTATCCAAAGGTTAGA